CATCCAAACCCTCTGGATTTAAGAAGCAGGGTTACCTACAGTAGGCTGCCCAGGACCGTATCAAGATTGCTTTTCTCAGTCTCCATGAGTGAAGATTCCCCAGTCCCTCTGGGCAATCTGTTCCAGTGCTCAGTCACCCTCGCAATGAAGAAGTTGATGCTCACTTGGAACCTAGTGTTTCTCAATTTGTGCCTCTCGTTTCCATAAGGGAGAGGGGGGGGAAGAGCAAGGGCTCCTAGCTTGGCATATCAGATTCTTTTTTAGAACTTATTTCTTTGCATGGATGCTCAAACCCACATCTTTGATGTTCCAAAAAAATGCCACAAGTACTTCAGGGTAAAGGTTTTTTTTTTTATTTAATCATATTTTACTCCTCTTGCTTAACTATTGCAGTAGTATTAATAATCAGTATTACTATTTGTGGTTCATTTGACCAAACAACTGGTGGAAGAAAGAGTACAATCCTAAAGCCCTGTGATGAGGGCACTCATCTGGGAATGATTGTGATTCATATGCAGTCCTTGCAAAAGATAATTCTGACAGACTTCTAATATAACAGGTTCTCACTGCCTCAGTCTTTTTGAATCTATGAATCCTTATTTATTTATTTGTTTTTAGGTAGTATTGTTTTAACAGAAGTCAATATGAACCTTGTTTCAGAACAGTTATTACTATGGAGCCTATGGTATTCTTTCTAGCTGTGGAGGAATGCATGTTTGAACCTCCACTGAGAGGCAAGGGTGAGATTGGCTCTTCCATGTCTTTGCTGAGGCTTTAGATATGCTCTGTATACATACAGGTACCCATTATAGCCTTGGTTGGGGGGAAAAAAAAAAAAAAAAAAAAAAAAAAAGGGCTGGAGAGATAAGCGTTATGGATGGAGCAGGGGTTAGCTACTGTGATTGTGTGCTGAAAACTTTAAGGCTTGAATTCCCTTAGATGTAGGCATTTCTGGGTGACCTGAAGTGGGGTGTTTGAGGTGTTTGCATTTCTTTTTCTCTAGCTTGCACAGCTTTCTACAGATAGTGCTTGTATTGTCAATCCCATTTTGGGATACTCAACTTTCCTCATACACTGTGTATGCACATCTTATTTAAAAGCCTTGACTATCACAGTTATTCTCTGGTGATGACTTTATGGGAGAATTCAACAATACCCTGATCTGGAGAAGGTTTAGGCAGTATCTTCTCCACATTGCTGTCTTCTCCCTTCTGCAAGGGGGGTCCCAGTGAAAGAAAATCAGGCACATGTACCAAAACCAGTGCTGAGGAGTGCTCATGCAGGGCCTGTAACTGATGTTCAGTCAGAACCCAGGGGACCAGGACTGTGGAGATATTAAGAGGTGTACTCTTGCTGTGTTAGTGCAAGTTTATCATGGATGTCCCTCAGTTTCTAGAGCAGATAATTTTCCACTTTATTGCAAAGCTCCTTGCTAGAGTATTATACTTTTTTTTTTTTTTTTTTTCTCCTCATGCCCCCTTAATCAAATCACTGTTAAAACACATGTAATTTTAAAAAACTAGTTCAGAGAAATGTAGACTTGTTAGTTATAAAAGCATATACTGACAAGAATATTTATTTAAAATATATTTTCAGTCTAAAATTCAACATTTGAAAAATATGTGAACTTCACAATTTTATGCCCTAGCTTGCTTAACTGTTATTATATTAAAAGAGACAAGCATATTAATTTGTGAGAGGTAAAAATAAGCATATAAAACATGTTTATATCCCAGAGAAGAGGGGAAGGGGAAAAAAAAAAGGAAATTGGTGTGTACTGTTTTGTGTGCAATTCCCAAGTATATTTTAGAAATAACTTTGAATTTTTATAGCCAAATTATCTTTTCTACTAGGAGGGAGTTGGGGACGGATGAATAATAGAATGACTGACAAATCTTTTAGGGACTGATTTTACAAGATGCTGCGCACCTCCTGATTGCTGCCAATCACTTCCATTTTTTTCAGTTGATCCGAGAACATATGGCATTATTCAGATGGTGCTGAGCACCTTCAGTCACAGTCCTCATAATGCCACAACATCCTCAACATCCTTGTACTCTGCTAATGTGTGAATTGCTGCTGATGTTTTAAATTGGAGGGTTATTTGATCTTTGTCTGGATAAACTCCTAGCTGATATAAATGGACGTGTTGCCTGAGGATGGACTGCAATAGTAAACAATAAATAATCAATTTTATAAGTACCATATTTTACGCAAACTATGTAAAGTATCGGTTTGGTTCATAAAATTCTTTACCACTTTTATTTCGTGGGGGGAAAAAAATACTGTTCTTGTGAAGAACTGAAGTTCAGTTTACTCTCAGTGCAAATTTCTAAAAGTGGAACCTCTGGATGTTATGTGCACAAGGCAGTTGATTTAAAGAGATCAGAAAGATGTTTAAAAATATATATAAATCAATTTCAGCATACTGATTGTGCTGCATTACAGTTACCTGTAGAGAATCTCTAGTCATGTCTATCTGTTTTTGATGCCTCTACAGAATAACTGTCCAGCATCCTCTGCCCAACCAATCAGAATGTAGGAAAATCTACAGATATGACGGAATCTACTGTGAATCTACCTACCAGAAGTATGTTGAAATCTGTGTGAGTCTTGCCTCTAGCTCGTGCATTTAGTGCTCGTGCTCTCCCGCTATTCACAAATTACACGTTGAAACCTTAAACCTCTGCTTACACGTAAACTTTCTAAAGCAGGGACAGAAATATGTTGCTTAATTCTTTGGGATTGTGTTCTAAAAGCTAAAAAGCAAATAAAAGACCCTATGACTTTGCTAAATCTCTTAGGTATGCTTTTGTACAGTGCAATAAACAAAAATGTATACACTAGAAAATCTAGGCAAAATGTATTGCACAGGTGGTTCACATCTTAGGGATTTGAAAGGTGTGTTATGTATAAATTAGCTGTCACTTTTTTTCAGTCGTGTAATGGAATGATGAGCTGTAATTTGCATAATCCTTTAAGAAGTCAAATTATACTGTCATGTAGCAGACTTAACATGCTAGCTAGGATTTCTTAGCTTTGCAGCTAATTAGTATGTACCTTACAGGACAGTTAAATTGAAGTTGAGTCCTCTTGCTTTGCAGTCATTTGCCTTTGTCCATCGCCCTAACAGAGCCTGCTTTTGTGTGCAACTGAAGGTTGTTACCAGTGCTTCTGACAAAAGTGCTGCTGCTGTGGGCAGGCAACTGTAACATGGTTAACTTATGTTACTGCTGCAATCTATCAGTAAAGTTCTATTTTATTGTAGTAAGCATTTAATAATGCATTTTTAAATAGAATTCAAAGGTATATATTTGACAGCTGTATTATAGATGATTTTGTGTTAATATATTGCAAAGGCATTATGAACTTTCTGCAGTCTTGCTGGATTTTCAAACTTCCTTTTTGTCATTTAGCATTTATTTTTCATATTCCAATTTTATTTTCTGTATCAGTATTATTGCTGTCTCGTGTATAAGAGATGTCATTTAAAAAAAAAAAAAATCCTTAGCTTCTAAACATCAGTTGTACTTATGCTGGAACAAAATGTTTCTTGGGCAAGGCTGTCATTATATTTTTCGGTCATATTCTTTCATCCGTTCTTCTTATTCCATAACTTGTTGCTTGTTTTTGGTGATTTTTTCTTTTAAATGTGTTTTTAAGTAATAGCTATCACCATATAAAAAAATAACTGGTAGTTTTGAGTAGATGAAAGGTATCATTTTGGTTTACAGAATTAAGAAGAAAAGGGAAATCTAGATTTATCATTATAATTCTAGCATTACTTTAACTTGGTGATTGAAAATAGAAATCTGGCCATTGGCTTGGCTTTAAAACAACAAAAAAACCCTGTGAGTAGCTACTTTTGATCTGAGGTATTATTTACTATTTGTATTTATTGATATGTATTTCTTCTACTTTTTGTTGTTTTTTCTGTCTCACTCTGCCAGTAATCAGCATACAGGCTGATTTAAGCATTTTAGATCTGGTGTGATTGTAAATGCCAGCATAGAACTTTTGTGGCTTTAATTCTCTTGTAACATCACTAATCATGAAAATATATTCGTTTGTGTAAGTGTTTAAAGCATATTTGTTGTGCACTGTCTCAGTTTTTAGAGTAACTTCAAGATTTTGAAACTTTGTGGAAATAAGAGAAAATTGGCACAGTTTCTTATGAATGCTAAATATGCTGATGCTGATTATCTTAATGTTTGAAATGAAATAGGCTTAACAGTCAGTATAGTCAAAACAGCTATCAGTGCTGACCAAAAATAAGATGGTAGAAGTTCAATTACATGTAGGTACACAGTTGTACAGGCAAATTTGGCCAAGAAAAAAGGCCAAAAATCAGGTGATGAATCAGTGTTATAATTGACATCTGTATTATCATTACCTGAAATTGCTTACATTATGAATTGGTTGAAGTTTTATTTCCAAGTCCACTTGTAGAAAGCAGATTGGTTCTGAAAACTAATACCTGTCTTCCAATAGCAGAGAGTGGGTTTTTTGATTAGTGAAATATTCCCTTGGTGGTACTTCAGTGCTATTTAAGTTCTCTGAAGCATTCTTTCTATCTTCCCCCCAATGGATGTTTTTGGTACTTTACCCCATGGTGATATATTTTCAGTGATACGAGTTTTAAAAACAAGTTGTTAAAAACTTCCCACGAAATTACAAGCATAACAAAATCAAGCTGTATTAATGGCATTTTCTGAGGCTTAAACTTCTGGATGAACTCTTGCTAATAGGTGACTTTACATGAAATAACATGCACATGAACTACGCTGCTGGAGAAGGGACTGCCATTTGGTAGCCATTAGTGATAGCTTCAAACTAGTTGCTTGGGGCACTTAATGGTGGGAAGCACCGCAAGACAGCAGAAGGCTGTGTGGTGTGCAAATCCCACTAGGGTATCTGGCTGTTGGCACAGGCAACAGCTGGGTTCAGTAGTCATTTAGTGCTCCATTGCTGTCCATACCAGGTTTAGAAACTATAGAATCACATACCTGACAGAAGTGTAGTCATATCTGTAGTAACTGGTAGTTTGTATTCCTTCATAAATACTTGAAGGTCCTTTTTCTATTCTGAAGTTTTTCAGAGTTGAGTTAATTTTCACTTTTCACAATTCAGATACTCTTGTTATGACCATTTACTAGACTTGAGCCTGTGCACTTTGCACATGCTGAGAATATTCAATTTCTAGAAGCTTGTTTTGTTTTTAAGTAGCAGGACTTTATTTTATTTTTTTTATTTTCTATGATTGAGGTTCTTCTCCCTGACTTTTTTTCCCCAATTCCATTGAAAATGCCTGTAAACATAATACTTTTCCCCCCTGCTCTGAATTTATGCTGAACTATCTACCAATTAAAGGTATTTTGTTATAGCTACTTAGCAACTGAAATTGAGATATTCTTATCCTTTCCATGATAATCTGGCAGGATTATGCCCTGGCCTTCTAACTCAGAAATATTTTTTCAGAAAACAGTTGGTGAAGTATAGAGTTGGACTTGATGATCTTTATAGGGTTCCTTCCAACTTAAGATATTAAGTCAATATCTTTTAATTCTCTTATTTAAAAAAAAAAAAAAAAAAAAAAAGGAAAAAAAGAGGAGGGAGTTAGCCCAATTATGATATTTTTATCTGTTTTATATATGTTAAATATTTTAATAGAAATCACTCTAACCTGTTTATGATCACATACAATCAAGTCTTATTAATGCCGCTAGATATCCCACCCAGAACACTTTTCCCCCTACTGTCAATCAATTCAGTTGCCATGGGCCTATGCTATTTGAGGTTGCTGGACATGTAAATATGCTTAAGAAAAGATCAAAAGCTTGAAAACAATTACAGTTTGTTTCTGCATTTGCTAGCGATAATGACCGACACAATGTAATTGTTCTAAAAAGACTTTACTGTTGTACCTTTTGAAGCAAATTGTATGTCTTAAGCTATGGAAGTAAAACTAGAGACATGTTGGTTACTGACTTTCAGTTTGACTGACCACCACTTCCTGAATACTTTTTTTCTTCTTTTTCCTCCACCTGTCCCCATCGCTGTAGCCAGGAATTTCAAGAGTTCTTTTGTGGAGTCAAACAAAACAAACAATGAAAAGAAATATTTTCTTCTCAATTCTAGTTCACTATAAGCAAGCTGCCAAGGCTTTTCCCACTTGCCCAGGTTGAAAATTCTTTCTTTTGTTTGCTCAGACACCTATGTTTTGCACTCTTGTTCACCTTTATGGAGTGTCAAATAGTGAACAAAGCCTGTGTAGAAGATCTCCAGAGATGGCATAGCTCCTGCACGTGCTCCAGTTATATTTGTTGCTGAATTACAAGGAATAATGTCTTGTCAAGAAAAGTGGTATTTTTTTCTTGCCTGTCTTGGGAGTCTTGGTTGTGTACAAGCAGTGGATATCTCAGTTATTTCTTCCCCTTGAAGTTATTCCTTTCATAAAGTGGTTCTTCACAGTATCATCTGGATTGTGAAGGGGAAACTCTCAGTTTAATGGCTCTTGTGTGCTATCTCCAAGGGTGGAAGAATAATTTCTTCATTTTTTCCTGCCCATATTAAGCAGACATAAGTTTCATGTCTGTTTTCAGGTGGAGTATAGAGAACAGGAAAGAGTTCTGCGGTAAAGTATTTCTTCTGAAATCAAGAGCATGGAATAAATATGCAAGGAAAACACCTCACTTACTTAAGTCCAGAAATACAGCTATGGCTTTATTAGCTCTTTTTCCCCTCATTTCTCTGCAATGATCATAGAACAGAAGGCCTATTGATTTCAGTGTAAGAAGTGGAGCAGTTTGTCCTGGAAGGTGTAGCTGGTCATATATGCATTACCATACTGAGCCTGTGAATTATCGGAACATCCAGACTTACCAGACTAAAATAAGCTCCCCTTAGACTGTATGATAGCTCAAAAAATAAAAATATTTGTACAACGCGAGAAGGAGGCAGAAAGCTAAACCATTCTTGTCTGTCTCTAAGGTTTAAATTAAGGCTTATTTATCAAATGGACAAACCAAAAACAATTGCTTTGCATATCCAAGAAATCTCATGGCCTTGCTTACACATCACAAGAGGTCACAATGGACCAAATAACTCTCCCAGGGTTTCTTGTGATGAAAGATTAAAGGATTTCTTGGGTTGTCGAGGTGGTCTATAATGGTCATCCTACCCTTAGCGTGGTGAGAGCAGACAAAGTAGAGGAGAGCTAATAGTTCTGAATGGAGAACTACAACTTTACGGGGTTGGGCTTAAAACCCCCTGCTTGCTCCTCTGCAGCTGGTCTTGCTGGTATGGTGATTGGGATGGCACAGAGAAGTTGATCAGGGCTGAGAGATTGCTACCTTTTTACGTCTTTCTATTCCTTAGAGGTAGTGCTGCACATAAATTGACTCAGGCATAAAACTTTTAATTATTCTTGTTTATATGATGTTGGATGGATTGGGCTAGGTTTGAAACAATTCTTTTAGCTGCAGGAAAAAAAAAAAAAAAAAAGGAGCATATAGGAGAACAAGACTATCATTCTATCTAATGCTGTAGGGTATTAGGGTATACGAGTTACTTCCCCCTTCAGCTTGCCAT